GAGGGTTCTGGCTCCAGCGCGGCCCCGGCCGGAGGGCTCCGTGTTGGGGATGATCCGGGGGCATATCTGGTAAGTGGGCTGACCTTTAACCACCCAGGGTGGCTTAATACGTGAAAGTTGAATCTGAAAGAAAGGGGAAAGTGATTAGTTCAAACACCCAGCCGCTTTCCGGCAGTGAAACACATTTCATCGGCAACTGTTCATTGCGATTCTTATCACGGGTATTCAAGAAAAAATTAAAATTCCAGCTTAAAAACTAATTTTGGCAGAGAAGTGGCACATGCCCCAAAACCTCTGCTCCCGCGCTCTGTCATGTGGTACGTAAAGCTCAGTTAACAGTAACATTGTTTTACTGGAGCCTGCATATAAATACACGGCATTCACATCTTCTAAAATCAGGACAGTCTACTTTATTTCAGGATGACCCTCCTGAAGCCGAAGTGGAGACCCCCGGGCAAAACAGGAAATGGCAGGAGTACTAAGATTCTGCCCAAAAGGAAAGGAACTGAGAAAACATGCAGGACCAAGAATACAGTTTGGAGGTCTCTTTTGCAATTAGCCAGCTCGTGTCAGGAACAGCGACTCCTGTAGGCACAGAAACACAAACTAAGGCAGTATGCCAAGGCTACCCCGTGCTCTCGTGCAAAGACCTGGGAACAATTTTCCATTCCTTGGCCATCTAAGTGAGAGAGTAAACTGTGGTCCTCAGGGGTACCCGGCCACCTCCACACACAACCCCCTTCCACTCCTCTCTTAAGATGACAGCACTTGACATTTTAACAATGGTTTGATGCTACTGAGCACGAGGGCCCCAAGACAAGCGAGTGGCTGCAATTCTCTTTCCTACCCGGATGGGTGGGACTTTTGGCTCCTCTTTAGTAGGCTGTGGCTTTTCTGGGTGAACACTTTCAATTGTGTTACGAAAGGACTGACGATCTTCAAGCCGGGGCTTCTTTTCGGGAAAGGATGCAGAGGCAGCCTCCTCGAAGCATTTCCTCTTCTGGTCCTTGGCTTCCCGGGCAGAGCTCTCCTGGGGCAAGCTGGGAATTCTGTTCGCAGCCGCCGACAATGGATCTTCTGATTTACTGTGTAATTTGGAAGTCTCTGGAGAGAGGTGCGACTCTGAACTCTCCAGCTTCAGCATCACGGTCGACGGGCTCGTCAGATCGTCCTTCTTCATGTCTGTGTCAGGCTTTGTCTCTTTATGAAGAGAGGGATCCGGGCTGGCAGAAGCAGCTTCCTTGGAAGCCTCCATCTGCTCAGGCTCACGCAGTTTGTAGAGGCTCCTCCTGGCTCTGCAGCGCAGGTCGGCCCGTGAGCGCTTTTTCAAGTGGCCGTCCCTCTGCCGTGTCGCAGGGCCGCGCGGCAGCCTCGCTTCCGCCTTGACGGACAGGCCTGTCCTGTTCTCAGCATCCTCCTGCACCAAACTCTGCTCCTGGGATTCTTCTTGGGTCAAGCCCAACCTACGAGGCAAACATAAAAACTAGCTAAGAGCTAAAGCCCATCCTAACTTAAGCATTTCATCGTTTCCTTACAGCTGCACTGTCACCACGATGCAGAGCAACACACAGGTAACGGAGCAGAGACTCATCAAAACCTCATGAAGTCAGTTGCAATGAGGTAACCCAGACATCTCCTACCCCCCCCATTGCTACCACAGGGAATGAGAAAAACAAGAACATTTAAAGATTTATGACAGATAATAGACAGAGAATAATTAGATAATTCTATAAGTAATATTAACTTGTCTTGGAATCAACATAGAATGACTACAAAACTCCACCGTGACCCAACAATTCCGCTCAGGATTTCCCTGGAGCAACAGCCTCAATGAGTCACCCACAACCCGTGTTTCTCAAGGAGTTTGTGCAGATGCCAGCAAGCACAAACACACTCTGCCACCTGCATGAGCATGGGTAAAACAGGACAGATGAGGTAAAATTTCTCACTTTTGTCCATAGTAGTCCTCAAAGAACTTCTCTTTCCATTGCTCCACTCTCTTTTCCTTTTCCATCTCCTGCCGAATTCGAACTTGCATCTCATGGGTGAATTCACCTGCACAAAAGTAATAGATTGAAATTCAACTCCAAGCAAAAGTGATTCTGCAAATGTAACCTTTGGGGTTTTAATAGCCCAGTAGTCACACAGAGGATGGACAGATTTTGTGCCATTGCCCTGCCCTCCACCCTGCTACAGATCCAGGTGCTGTCTGCAACTCCTAAGGGCACTGGTCACGCAGCCTCAAGCAAGCCTGAAAAAAATCACCTTTTACCAGACACGAGCAGCCACTTAAGGACCAGTGTTACATTACAACCCACTGCTTCATTCTGAAGGTCCCACAGCACCAAAGGAAAACATATCTTTGATTTTAAAGAAAAAAAAAAAAAAAAGAGAAAAAGGAGAAAAGTTTGGGGCAACACAGCCAGATACGCTGCAAAGCTGGACTAAATTCACAGAACCTACAGGAAGACTGGGGAGGGACTTTTTACAAGAGTGTCCAGCAACAGGACAAGGGGAAATGGATTTAAACTGAAGGAGAACAGGTTTAGATTGGATCCTGGGAAGAAATTCTTCAGTCTGAGGATGCAAGACTCTAGACTAGGTTGTCCAGAGAGGTTGTGGCTGTCCACTCCCTGGGGATGTTCCAGGCCAGGTTGGATGAGGCCTTGAGGAACCTGGGCTGGTTAAGGGCATCCCTGCCCATGGCAGGGGGTTGGATGAGATAATCTCGAAGGTCCCTTCCAACCTAGGCCGTTCTAGGATTCTATGATTAAGACCTGGAGTTGGAAGGGATCCCATAAGGATTGTTGAGCCCACCTCCTGCCAAACGCTAAACCCAACACCGGCATGCTCCCTGCAGTAACTCCCATTCATTAACTGCAGAAGAAAAATAAAAAAACAACCCATGAGAAGCTACTCTCCAGCCCCACAGGAAAGCAAACCTGCTCACCATCAGCCAGCCGCTCTCGCCAGCTCTGCGCAGCGTGGGTGAAGAACTCATTGTTGAGAGCGCTGCCGCTGAGACGCATCAGCCCGTCAGCCCCGACCTAACGGGACAAAGTGGAAGTGTTTGCTCAAGCTGTTCCACGGCCACGAGGGAATGCAGGGAACAAAAACACCCTCATACCTGTCTGTCGACTTCAGGCAGGAGGTAGAGCAGCTGCTGCTGGAAGTGCGATGGGAGCGCATTAAAGGTTCTGGAGTTGATCAGGGCTCGCAGGTTTGTGTTGACAAGAATGGAGCCGGGCGTTTCAAAGTCAATGTCCTCACCCCTGTTTCGCTTCATTTGCCCTGGAGTTTCAGGACAGGCAAATAAAACAAACATCATTCAATAGAAGTATTTCAGTATTATGGGCAAGAAATTCATGTCAGACCACTACAGCAAAAGGAGCAAAATACACAAGACTGGAGCATTCAAGCAGGAAGAAAGACTCTCAGACAGACTAATTAATACACTGGAATTGGGATATGAGGTCACATTTGTGTCACGTTCAGGTACAATTCTCATTGCTGCTCTTCAGACCAGGTGAGGTTTTAAACAACTGTCTCCCTAATGCTTGGGGAGGAAGGTCCAGCTTGTGAGCCTCAAGACCGTCACGTGCCTTCTGAAGCGAGGGAACCTTGTTGTTCCTTCCTCTGACAAACACGGGCTTCAGCGTTGCCTGCTTTTATTCTTCTAACTTTAACCAGAAGCACCTACCAGCTGTGGGCTTTCGGATACCTCTCAGAAGCTGTGGAGGGTCCCTGTTTATTTCTGTTCTGCTGCGCAAGGTGGCTTTGCAAAGGGCCAAAGAGCTGCTGCTGCTGCTGGACGTGCTGCTGCTCTCCCCATCGGCATGCCTGCCCGTGAAGCCTGGAAGCAAAATGAGTTTGTGAAAACGTGCAAAGGATAGCAGAAACTCAATCTGGAGAGCAGTTTAACACACAAGAATTACCCGCTCATAACAGATCTGCTATTACAGGGTATTGCCCAGTTGCCAACTATTTTGATGGAGTCAAACACGTACGCAGCTCTGCAGCCACAGGGGCTCTCACTAAGCATTAAACGAACCCGCAGGCAAACTCCCCAGAAAGCAGGGATTACTGGCTAAAAGCGCTCTGTGCAGCTGTTCAAAAAACACCCCCCCAGAAGCAACACTCACCTGAGGCAGACTCCATGTGTGCCCCGTTGACTTTCAGCGGTGTTAACACAACACGTGGCAGCATCACCCCAGTCTTCTTCTTTTGTTTGGTTGTCTGCAGTCCAGAAAGACACAAAGACGTTAAGGAGGGGTGAAATAATCTTCTAGGCAGCACGTTGCCCCTAGCCCTTATGTAAATCTTCAGGCGTCATTACAAAATTCAAGATCACCTTCCCCGCACACGAGTCCTCAACACCTCACCCACGGGGCACGAAGACGCCCGCGCACGACCAGTCCCTGCCACGCTCACCCAGCGTTCAGGCAGGAAGGAAAGCACTGGCAGAGGCTCTGTGCTTCACCAGGAGTCCCACTTTTCCCTACCTGGGAGGCAGCTCTGTAGCTCTCCCTGGTAGTGGCGGGTCCTTTGCTCTGAGATTCAGTGGAACACGAAGCGTTAGAGGAGGTTTCATCAAGAGACACTGAAAGAGACGGGCGCTCGGGTCAGACGCGGAACCGGACCCGACAGCCTAGGATTAACATCATTAGACACTCACCATCGTTATCACCACTCACAGTGCTTGCTTCATTGGACTCACAGCTTTCTGCGTCCGCTGTATCCTCCAGCTCCTCTCCCTCTGGCACAGACAGATTCCGAGACCACTGCAAGGCATCCTTCTGAACAGGCAAACAGAACTGGGATGGCCACAGTCCTCCCGCCTCACATCAGCGGGAACAGGCCAGTCAGCAGATCGAGTTTCTAAGCTTGATTTTTTTCATCTTCCTGATTTCAATTCTCAATGCACAAAGGTATTTTTAAGCATATTTGGGCTCACGGTGGAGCAGAGGTCATCCAAACTACCAGCACACTCACAGACACCTCCTAAAGGAGTAACCCAAGCATCCAAAACACATCAGCTTCACGACTGGCCACACTCTTCTGCAAGAAAGCAGCATCTATCACTGAGAAGTATCTCATTCTTACTGCAGAAAAACAGGCAGCATCAGAGTAGCCAACTACCAAGATAGTAAGCTTAGGAAATGTATTTACTACTTGCATAATCAAAGTCATTTCAATTCCATCTGTTTCCAGCAAAATATGGCAAGTCAACAAAATTTTCTAAGAGGAGAAAAACCGATGCAAATGAAACAGCTGAGAAACCTGTTGTCTGTCAAGCTGGTATTTATGAGGGAATCCAACAGTACAAAACAACGCAAAAGAGAAGCCTCAGACCAGAGGCATTTTCAATGTTTAAGATTGCTGGGACAATAAACTAAAAATAAAAAACGTGCCAGGGAGACCTCAAGATCTGAGGAAAATGGTGACGCTAAACACAGACAGAATGTGGTGGGACACAAAATCACCAACCAGGATGAACACACATTCTCCTGTCAAGATTTTACTTGTAACCACAAGCTCTGGGACCAATTTATCAGTTGGCAGAAAAGGAGTCCATGGGACTTGCCTTGGTAAGCGGCCACCTGAGCTGGACACCAAGAACCGGAATAAGAGGATTTATCTTGCTTGTGCAATTCAAGAAATGATAAGGGTTTTTAAAAAGAATTTATCCTATATGGCTGAATCCAGCTGAAAGGTACAAGCTCTAAGGGACTAATGAATTCCAGACACGCTTTCACAGGACGATCTCACACCAGCTCACATGATGCTCAGTGACAGTTTAACACCCGGCTCTGCATCACAAGTAGGAGTCGCACCTCGGCTCTCAGCCGAGGGGAGGGACGGAGCATTTACCTTGAGCGTGAAAAGGCTGATGCGTCCAGGCAGTTTGTAGAAGAGCCCGTCACCTCCCCGTGAATTGGAGTGGAGCATGGCGTTGAGGCAGGCCAGCGGAGAAGTGCCACTGAAACACAGGAAGGCAGAAAAAGGCGTTAAGAAAGGACCTTATCGAGAAAACAGCCCCAAAGACCTGTTTAAGCAACAGGCATCGTGCAGCTGAGCGAGGGCACCAGAGCTGATGCTCCTGAACTTCACAGGACAGGAGCTTCACTCAGACTAGTTTTGATTTGTGGCTTTGACACACTGCGGCGAAGCAATCAGCAGAAAACAGGAAACATTACGCCAGTTTCCAAGCCGCTCTCAGCCATTTTTAGACGTCTCTAACTTTTATGATCCGTTTCCTCCCTTTCTGTGCTTGAAGCTTTCAGAGTCGGGCCAATTTTACAAAAAAACCCAGCAGTAGAAAGACGTAAACAAACCTGGCACAAGCTGTAGACATACGTGTTTCTGGAACGTCTGCCCCGACCCAGGCGCAGGCTCTGCGCCCGCCGAGTTACGTATAAAAGTCTGATGCACTAATTTGTCAAGTCCCACGTAACCCCCCGGCTAAAGCAACCATCCCACGCTCCCAGGGCTGGAACTTCTCTGCCACGTAATCTCATGTTTTCCAATAAGTCACCCATACACAGGCAGAAAATTACCTGAAAGAGACATTAAAGCAGTATCGGTTTCATTATTACAAGTGAAACAGAAAACAAAATATGTTTCTCAAATTGAAAACTTAAAATGATTTCTGCTTCCACCCTGAACGCATCTGGTTTTTGGACAGTACTTCACAAGCCTCGGCAACAGACAAAATTAACCTGTCATTTTTAGATGTTATAAAAAAAAATTTAAAATTCCAGCCTTCCGTCCTGTTAGACAGCGTTTTCCCTCCAAGCAGGTTGGCCAGCCCCAGAGCACGCTTTCCTAGAACAGCAAAATAAACAATTTTCCCCAAAATGGCTCAGAGGGAGTAACGTCCTAAGGCATGAGGCAGCTTCCTTTGGGAAATGGAGTTTCAGGAAGAGGTTTTTACACAAGTACCAGCAAGGTCCGCGGTGTATTGGGCTAGGCAGGAGCACTGCCTTTATTCTGCGAACAATTACGCTCTCAAGAAAACGGTCTTTTCTTAAAGCAGAGAATTAATGACTGGGGAAGGAAAAGCAAGTGTCCCAAGGGACACCCACCGACCCGTAAGGGAACCACGGTGCTCTGCGAGATTTAACCTGACGCGTGCTCCGAAGTCTGGTCTTTAGTTACATACTGTGAGAGGTCACCTGCAAAAACTGGGTGAGCACTGAGCTAGTTTATGTGTGTGAAAAGACCTGCCATTCCCTTTAGCAGAGGATATAGATCTACAACTGTCTCCTTGAGTAAAAGGACTGTTGTAAGAAAGGTGCAGAGTACTGATTAGAACAAAGCTACACAAAGGTCCTTGTTAAAAGCCTGCCTGGAGCTGCAGAACCACTGCCCAGATCCCAAGCAGTGACAATCTCTTCGACAGGGATAGCCACTGCCAGGTGGGGCTTCCAACAGCTCCGACATCGATGCAGCGACATGCACTGGCATCGTCCCCCTCCAAATGACGGCAGCTCCTGCACCCAACACCCCGGTACGTGTCGGCTGTTTTCACTGTTCAAACCATCCCAGCCGTTTCCCCATTTCAAACACAACAAGGAGCAGGAACAAGCCAACATTCCGAGCTGTCAGGTCTCCGAAGAATTGAGTTTACCTTCTGTGGCTGGGGAAAGTAGAGGTTTGGGAAACACAAACACCGTGGTGGGAAACAGCCCCCAGGATCGCGGCAAGAGGGAAGTCAGACCAGAGACAGTCCAGGTATTTGGATTCCCCAGAAGTCAATCAACGGGCAGTGGCCAAGAGAGACTGCTTGTTCTGTCTCTGTTAGTCAAACGTTCTTTTTTGTGCCGTGCAGCACTAACGGAGGCACTGAGGCTATCACGGTTACCTACTTCCTTTGATCTGCAAGACACTCTGCATTTCTTTTCTACTGCTGTCACAGAAACAGATGGAAGCTTACAGGAACTTAACCAAGGAGAACAGCCTCCCGCTCCCGGCGCTTCTGAGACTCCATATCAAGTTCTTCTTCCTACGAAACCCCTGCCGAGAGGGGCTTCTCCTCCGTACAAAGAGACACAACAGTGCGAGCTGAGCTTTCACTGCTCCACAATCTGAGCTGAAGTCAGTACAGTAATATAAAATAAAGATGACTTTTCCGAGTCTCCTAAAATATAATGTCTGCCCTAGAAATGAAGCATCAGAGGAGACCAAAACTGTTCTCAAACTCAATTCACAACAGCAGAAACTACTGGGAGCTACTAATGAGCAAACCACAGCAGTGAGCACAACGCAATGCTGGGGTCTGATCCACAACAGGCATTTACTTTACAACAGATGGATGAAGGTGACTCTGTACGTTACCAAAAAAATCCACAAACAGCTTCCATTTATTATCAAAGAAAAAACAAAACAAAACAATCCCGAAATCCAACCCACAACCTGTATATAACTGTCTATACTGTCATCTGAAATTACCATGCTGGAAATAAAAAAAAAAGCAAGAAGAAAAGTGGGCTGGAATTGAGGCAGAACTGCAGACAGCCTCCCCCATGCTCCACAACCATCAATACTAACCTCATTTCCTTTAGTCCTTCAGCCTCTATGACCTGCAGAATCTGTTTTGGGGTCATAGGAGCATCAGAGTAATTTTCCAGCACCTGAAAAGACAGAAAGACCATGTGTCATTACAGAATTTCCTTCTGCATTCACAGAACCACTCCAGACGTCACCGTTCAGATAATACGCCTCTTAAAACTTTATTCATCTGCAAAAGACACCAAAAATTTCAGGCTACCTCAAGGTTAGATCACAGTCAACACCACAAAAGTCTTACCTTAACCTGGCCCCTCATTAACCCAAGTACAAACACGGAGGAGAAAAAGCAGCAGAATCTGGTCTCGACCCCACAGCATGAAACCAGTGGCGGCTTTGCCACCAACTTCAGTCCATGTTACACTGAGCTCCTGTCACGTGCACCCTTCGAATCTGAAGAGTTGATGGAGACCTTTAACGACATAAAACGTTCTCCCTGCCCTGCGCCTTCCCACCTCTCAACAAAACATTCAGTAGTTTTCTGCCAATCCAAGTAGCACTGCTCAACGGTTACTGCGTCCACTTCTTCTCTGCCCCATCTCAAGGGGTGGACCACAGGTAAGAGCCAGGATTCTCATCAGAGAAGGACAGAAATCAGAAAAGGACAACAACAGCAGTAATAGATATGGGGAAAAAACTACGGCTAGAGACACTGAAAAGATTTGGAGTGCTTGCTTTTGAAAGAAAACGAGTAAAATCAGACATTAAAAAGGCAATACAACAACAACTCATCCTGTCATATATTATACGAAGAATAGAATTGCCACTTATATGTGAGGAACTGAAGGGGCTATTACTTTTTTTTTTTAAAAAAAAAAAAGTCTGTGGAACTTGCTGCTCCGAGATGTCTAGAAGCAAGAACTTGAGGATTCAGAAAGAGGACCAGACATTTCTATGGCTAAGAAGATTACCCACGTAAACAGGAAACAATGAGCAAAAATAAGCAGCAGTAGATGCAAACCACGACATTTCTTTGGGAGCAGATTACCCTGCAGCTGCCTAACACGAGCCGTCTCGGGCGCCTTCCACCGAAGCAGACGGTGCTGCTCCCTGAATGCAAAAGATGCTGAACTTGACGGACCCCTGGGTCCGATCGAGCAAAAAGACTGCCATGGAGGCACGGGGCACAGCTTGAAGCACAGAATCACAGAACGATGGGGGCTGGAAGGGACCTCTAGAGATCTTCTAGTCCAACCCTCCTGCCACAGTAGGGTCACCCAGGGCAGCCCCACAGGAACGTGTCCAGGAGGGTTTGAAAGTCTCCAGAGCAGAAGACTCCACACCTGCTCTGGGAGACCTGGACCAGTGCTCCGAGCCATCTATGGAAAGCAGCAATGGGAACTTTTTGATCATAATCGTGGTCTGAATTCCCCTACAACCCTGATTTCACTGCGCTTCAAAGAAGCGGGGAACACGGCGCTGTCTTTCAGTCTGACTTGTGCGAGAAGCCAGTGGAGGAACCCAAATGCCCCATTTATCTCAGCAGCATCCAGAACTGAGTCAGTGCCGCGCCGTCGCACGGCATGGAGCCTGCGGTGGTCACCTGGAGTCGCACCAACAGGATATTTGCAAAAAAGCAATGTTGTGCAGGGTACCACTTGCATCTCCGTACCACCTCCAACCTCCGCAAGGGAAGGAAAACCCAACCCGTGTCACTGCAGCTCTGCGTGATGGCTATATTTAGTGATAAAAGGAATTTCGTAAATCATATCCACCCAACGCACGCTTCTCAGGTGCCTGAAGATCATAAAGCATCGGCGGTGCTAACCTGGTAGGGGATGGGAATTTGAGAACTACGTAACCTGAGATAAAGCACAAAGAAAACACGAAGAGTTTAAAGGAAAGATCAAAGAAAGGGATAAGTCACATTCAGACAGCAAACAATTTTAATTCCGAGTCAATGCAGCTCCATCATGCTTTTTCCTCCACTAACCAAAAAGCCTCCCTAGGTCACAATGAGCTGCCACCCTTGTCACTCGGAGGGGACAGACAGCTGACGAGGGGAAACACATCGCTCTCGAGCTGAGCACAAGAGCCACAAAACGCTACGTGCCTGTTCTGGAAAAGAAGAAAATTCTTCACAGCTTATAAACCCTCTCTCGAGTGACAGACACAGCAAGGAAAATACAGCCTAAAACTGAGCACGAAGGAGCATTTACATAGAGATAAAAGAATCTACGCTCAGGGGAACAATTTCCAATCAACAGCTATATTAAGTGTACAGAGTGCTTAATGGGAGAACTAGGGGAGAGGAGATCCTGCAGCTTCAGCCACCACAGCCCAGGCTCTGGCACCAGCAGCCCCGTGTCAACCGCCCATCAGGAGCTACAACTTCAACATCAGCTACCCTGTACCCCCCCAAAAAAGACTTTTTCTCTGGCCACTGTTCATACTAGTGAGAGTCAGGGGTTGCTATGTCTTTAATTATGGAAGTTTACATCACCCCCTCGATTAATTTTCGAGACACCTAGCCCTGAGAGCCCTTGTTGAAAGGTCCTACGGCTCTGGGCGTTCAAAGGAATCTTTAAAGGCTTATTTTACGGAACGTGCATAGTGTTGGCTCGGTAGGAGCAGCAACGCTGAGAAGCACTTTTGCTGTGATTCTCAGAAACACCGAGAGGAATACAAAACACAATAGTGCGTCAGAAAGGAAAATTAAAAGCATTTTGACAGGGAGCATGTGTAAGACTAGCGTTAAATAAAGAGCTATTTTTAGTGGGTTTACAATCAGTCCTGCAAGCTGGAAGCGCAGCTACGCAACCACAGGTCTCTCTAAGTGGATAATCTAGTGTGAGATGGTTCTATTCCTGGTTCATCAATGGCTGCAAGATGCTGTCGAGGCTTAGACATCTCGTGCAGCCGCTGTGCCTGAGGTTCTGGCCAAAAGATAGGTGAGAGGAAACGTGTGAAGAGATCCCTTTCCCACCATAGGAGGGTGAGGGGGGGGTGTTAGGAGGCTGATCTGGAGTCACGGGCTCCCGTGCTGCTTGAGGCAGATAAACACCAATGGTTTTCACCTGTCAGAGCTGAGCACATTTGCATGAGGCGAGTGTGGAAGGTCACCCAGCAGGGCCTCCAGCCCCAGGTCACCCACCAGGAAAGCAGCTCTGCCGCCAGCAGCGCCACAGAACCTGGCTCTCCAAGGGAAACGCGTGCTACACCACCGGGTTCCTGCAAGTGAAGTCCCACAGTGGGTGGCTCATGGCTTTCTCCAGTTTTTCAAGCAAAATCATGTGGGTCTAAAGCATTATAATTTAGACACAAAAGATTATGCAAGTTGCTGGAAGACAGATGCTTGTCTGATTAGGTTTCCTCCTGGCAAGCAGTAGGAAAACACTCTGACAGCCAAACAAATCTTACTCAGAAGGAGCACCAAGACCCATCCCAAACCTCGTCAATGCCAGACACGGGTCTCAGCTGGATTCACCCAAACTGAATGTTTATGCGCTCCAACGTGGCCAGGCAAAACCAAACCAAACACACACAAAAGAAATGAAACAAGGAAACTAAACGCCCTCAAGCCCTGTAAATCCATTCCTACAGATGCCCACAGGCTACTCGGCAAGTACAACCACACCCTCCCAGGTTGAGTACCTCCGGTGGGAGAGGGCAGTGATCCCCACACCAGGTCTGTGTCACCGTGTCACCAAGAGCCAGCACCTCCAGGCAGAGCCCAGAG